GGTTGAGTTAGCTCTGTGAAGCTGGCTTAGCCTCTGTAGCACAAGTTCGATTCCTGGCCAGCCAGGGAGCTCCCCACATGGCGCCGCAGAACTCTCCTGTCTCACCCGCTGCTCCCCTCAGCAGTGTATTTCAGTCAGTCTGCCTGTTCTGCTTCCTGCTCTGTCTCTGGTGAATCCTCTCACCCCATCCCTGTGCCTCTGGCCTGTGCCCCAGTTCTTATATAAATAAATAAATCTTAAAAAAAAAAAGTTGTATAAATAAATAAAAATAAATCTTACTAAAAGTTACATGCACTCTTACTCTGTTTATAGGATAGTCTCAAGAGAAAACTATCAAGATGGACCAACAAATAAATGATTGCAGAGAATTAGGGAGGGAAGGGAGATGAGGTTATAATAATGATGATAATGATAATAATAAACTACTGGACCTCACTGATGGTGCAGGGGGTTGAGTGCAGCACTGTGAGGCTGTCCATGGCCTTTGCAGCATGAGTTCGATCCCTGGCCGGCTGGGGAGCAACACACATGGCACCACACACCTCTCCAGTCTCGCCCGCTGCTCCCCTCAGCAGTATATTTTGGTACATCTGCCTGTTCTGCTCCCCGCTCTCTCTGTGAATCTTGTCACCCTGTGCAACTCTGGCCTGTACCCCACTTCTAAAGAAAATAGGTAATAATAAATTACTGATAATACTAGGATAGCATGAGCAGGTGTTTTGGGGGTGATGGTTCTATTTTATGTCATGCGGTTACAGTGGTGGAGACATGAATCTGTATATGTGTTTTAAATCATGGAAACTTACCCCAAAATAAAAAGGTTAATTTTACAGTACGATAATTTTAAGGAAAGGAAGAAATTTTTCATTATTTGAAAAATCTTTCTGACTGAGCACATCAAGATAAAGTCAATGCTATATGGGAGGAAGGCATGGAAAAACAGAATCTTAGATTGTTTGGCTCATATAAATTAAACCAGGGTTAGAAAATATGCTTGTGACATTGTATTTCCAAAATAATTGGTAACTATATGCTTTTTTAGAAACTTGCTTCCCCCTCCAACAAAAGGTGATGTCCCTATCCCTTGTATTTGTGACCAAGCTGGTATGGTGAAAACTATAATATATGATTCCTGAGGCTAAGTCATAAAAGTTCTATGAACTTCCTCCTTAATCTTTAGAAAATTTGCTCTTGGAACCCAGCCACTGTAATGTGAGGAATTCGTAGTAGCCCATGAAAACTCCTACACTATGGGGAAGAGAGGTCTCTTCCACATCCCTGGCATATCTTCCAACAAATAGCCAACACCAACCTGCCAGACATACGAGCCAGCCATCTTGAAAACAGTCAAGTTACCTAACATTATCTAGAACACAGCAGAGCAGTGAGTGTGTGTGTGCCAAGCCCCACCTAAGTTGACTATTGACAAGCAAAATAAATTATGGCTAATTTATTAAATAATCCACTAAATTTTGGGATGGCTTGAAAATATCCATAGTAGCTACAAAATTTTAGCACACAGTGTTATAATGACTCACTTATCAACCTTAACAGATCAGGGTGTTTTCCTGCAAGGGGTATTCGGAAAATTTCGTGGAATAAGATGAGCCTTAAAGGGAAAGAATTCATGATTGGCTGGTGAAGTTCTCCACTGGACATAGTAATGTCTACTTGGCAATCCAGTTGGAATCCAGCACTCTTATTTTATATATTGAACAAGACAGAATGCAGGTGGTTGTGATCTGCTCAAAATCACACAGATATCACAGATATTTAGTACCAGAATAAAAGTTCTAATTCAAGTTTTTTGCCGTGCAGTTTAGTATTCTTTTCCTATGGCATGTCGTTTCTCAAAAACAGAATCCAGAGACTTAAACTGCAGGACCTACCACAGCAAATATCTCCTAGAGTTTCTCGTTCCGCCTTCCATGTCTATGACAGGCATCATCAGTTAAATACAGTGGTCTCCTAAGGTCACTGATATGCACAAGAACAATACTTCCAAACTGCCTTTAGAGAACCAGTGTAAAGAGGTGCCAGAGCTATAACTTATTTGCATCAGGAGTGCCAGAAAAATACAGCAAAGGCTGGCTCAAAATATAAGCTGTGAGAAGATTTGATATCAGAATGCCTTAGCATGGGCCTCCTTGGTGGCACAAGGGGTTAAGCACAGCACTGTGAAGCTATCCTCAGCCTCTGCAGCAGAGGTCAATCCCCTGCCAGCCTGGGAGCTACCCACATAGCACAGCAGACCTCTCCTGTCTCACCCACTGCTCCCCTCAGCAGTGTATTTCAGTCAGTCTGCCTGTTCTGTTCCCCACCCTATCTCTGGTGAATCCTCTCACCACCCCCCCCCCCACACACACACCTCTGGCCTGTACCCAAGTTCTTGTATGCAAAAATAAATAAATCTTTTTTAAAAATGCCTTAGCAAAAGGGAAGGAAGACTTTAGACTTGACTACTCTGTAACAAGGATGTCAGAAACAACATGTAAATTGTTGTAAATTGTGTCTATTAAGGAATCACTTTCCACATCCTTGAAAAACTCAGCTGCAAATGCTATTAGACAATTTTTATTCTTAATATTTTAAGATTTTCTTAGAGTTGGAGAAAACCTAATTACTTTAGTTCTAATGTGTGACTATAACTTGGCCTTGTCCTGAATACAATAGAATTGAATGCATATGACACATATGGGGGGTAGTATTGAAATATTGTACATTTGATGGCTCTGTTCTTTACAATGCCCTTGGCATTGTCTGAGAGTAAAGTAGGTTCAGAAAAAAAACAGACCATTCCTAGAATACAATTGAAAAGCAGAGGCTACAAATCTATGGCTCTGTGACTCATAGGGTAGTTTATTAAGAACAGGATTCAGATTTGTCCAATATAGAACCAGGAGAAGTGCTTCTCTGAATTTAATCAAAGGGAGCAAAACACCCCACTGCAACTGCAACTAAATTCACGGAAAGTAATGATCATTCTCCCCTTTCTTTGAGTCTGAGTATAGAGGTGAGGTAAGGTATGAAGGTTATTTGAGTAAAGTCTGAAGCCAAGTGTACACATTCATTCATTCATTTCTTTATTCACTGAGTATATGCAAGGCATTATTTTAAAACCTTGGGGGGACACAAAGATGAAACAAACAGGGATTTTTGTCTTCAATGATTATCTAGCAGGGTGTATACCATCTTTTTTTTTAAATGGAGTAGGATTTGAGAATATGAACTTAAAGCATTTAATATTGGCTAGTGGGGCCTCCCTGGTGGCTCAAGGGGTTAAGCACCGCACTATTAAGCAATCCGCAGCCTCTACAACATGAGTTTAATCCCTGATCTCTGTCTGGCTCACCCGCTGCTCCCCTCAGCAGTGTGTTTCAGTCAATTTGCCTGTTCTGCTCCCCACTCTGTCTCTGGTGAATCCTCTCACCCCACACACCTCTGGCCTATACCCCAGTTCTTGTATGCATAAATAAATAAATCTTTAAAAAAATTTAAAGAAAGTGGACACTACAGTTAATCCAATTTGGATTCCAAATAAGGCTCTGCCACCCAATGTCTAACTCTAAGCAAATTACTTCATCTCCCTGAGCCTCAGTTTCCTTATCTGTAAAATAGGGTATATTATAAAGTCAATATGATAATTCAGTACAGCATAAGAAAGCAGAGAATCTGGTATACATTCAATGCTCCTTAAGTAACAACTTCACTTTGCTTTCTCCTAAAAATGGCAATGATAAAGTTCAGAATTTAATTATTAAAACAGTTATAGGTGAAAACCATTCAGGTCTCAAACTTTCCTGACACTGCTATTTTTCTTTTTTTCTAATGGAAAAGGGCACCCAATGTTAAGGAAAATGAAAATTGGGGTGGGGGGTGGGTTTGGACCACCTATAGTCTCACCATTCTTGCACCACAACTGTTTCCATTTTTGCCACGGTCTGGCTTTTATACAAAATGGTTATATTTTCTCCACAGTCGGGATCAGGGTGTGTTTACCATGGCATCATCTCTTTTAAGGTTCTAAGACATTTATTCCAGGTTGATAGTGGGAAGCAGCAGCAGAAGCAGCAGTGGAAGGTGCGGAGGTGTTAAAGTTCTCTTCTGATATTGTTCAAACCTTTCTCCAGCACAGAAACTCCACAAAGAACTCCTCTGCAGTTTTTGTTACCCAGGGCTGTTTCTTTAAATTGTTTGACGTCAGAGAAGGAATGCTATAGCAACAGTCTGTCAAACTGGAATTACCTCAGAAGAAAGATGTGGGGTGGGGTGGGGGTGGGGAGAAGAAACCTGCTTCCCGGAGGGTACAGACTTCAGAAGAAGCACATTGAGTAGATGCATTTATTTTATGATATTTTAAACATAAAACACCCAGAGAAACATGGAGAAGTTGGTTGAGACACATAAGATGTTTAACTCCTGCAGAGACATGAGCCACTCGACAGGGTTATTGGAAAGGCCTTTGGGTTTCACCAGTGACAAAAGTAACAGTAGCTGCCAAGTATTGATTATTCCTAAACGTTACTTGAGTAATTTTAGCATCTTTTTTGAGGCGGCCATCAATATCCCTACTCTGCTGCTGACAAAACTGAGATCATGCGACGGTGCACAGCCTCAAAATTAGCGGTGGTTCAGCTGGGTTTGCACCGCAATCTTGGTTTATTTTCGTCCATTAATTCCAGAGTGTTAAATAAACCTGGACGGATCTTGGGGTTCTCTGAGTTAGCCCCCCGATCGTGCCCACGAACAAGCTGTGGCCTGCGTGGTGCCAAGGAAGGACACTGGCCACACCACTCGTGCGCTGCTCAGAAGTGTGCCCCGGCGTCCAGGCGCCATGCGGACCAGAAAACGAAACTGCCTGGGAATTAATGTTTTTCTTCTTCTTCGAGCAGGAAACCAGAGAGAAAATAGGAAGCAGAAGCTGCGCGCGGCGCCCGCTCCCTTCGCCCCCCGCCCCGCGCCAGGGCCGCGCGCGCTCCAAGCCCTGCGCGAGCCCAGCGCGCCCCCGCGGGCCCCGCGCGCCTCGTGCCTCGGGCCTCGCGCCTCGAGCCAAGTCCCCGCCCCGGCCCCGTCGCGCCGCGGAGTTGGCTGCTGGGCGGCGCGGGCCTGGGTGTGGCCGGCGACTCTCGGCGGCGCTCGGCTCGGCGGGGCGCTGCGCTGCGATCTGCGAGCGGGCTCTGCGGGCGAGGGCTGCTGCGCGCCCGGCCGAGCCAGGCAGCGTCCGGTGGCGCGGGCCGGAGCCCTCCCAGGTAAGCGCCGAGCACGCGTGGGGCTGCTGGGCGGTGCGCCCCGCGGTGGGGGGGACCCGGACCGGGGGCGCAGGACCGATCCGATCGCGTCTGACTCCGGGTCTGGAGCCCCGGGCGGCGGACCCTACCCGGGACCACGGGGCGGGCGCGCGTCTGAGCCCGGGCGGTGACCCGCCGCTGGACCGCGGTCTCGGGCGCTTGCTGGGCTGCTTCGATCGCCGGCTCTGGGAACAAGGGGGCAGTCGGTGGTCCCGGGCTCCCAGCTCCCCAGATTCCTCTAGATGCCCCAGAGCATCTCCAAGGGACTCAGAGCGCGTCCTCGGGCTTGCGGGAAAATAGCGGTTATTCCATACTGCCCTGGAGGGTTATTGGGTGGAGAGCGTTGGGAAAACTCTTAAAAGTTCTCCACTGACTGCTAAAAATGAGTCCAGTGGTTTCGTGGTAAATGTATTTTGGAAATGTTATGCCCAGTATTGGAGTTGAGGTGAGGCTGCGGATTTATGAATTTTGAAAATTTGGAAGTTCAGTGCATGCTGAACATTTTCCTTTTCTCTGCACATTTCCTTTCTGCTTCAAAACATCAAGGATTGCCTCTTTGGTATTTATTGCTATTCGGGAAGGGGAGATTGGATTTCCAAAAGCTTAAAAACAGACTCATTTGTTTATAGAAGCAATGCTTTTTTAATTTTGTATTTTCATCCCTTTTCTCCTACTCCTTCCCTTTCTTGAGTAAAAGATGCTGTTGCATCTTATTTTCTTTTGGGAATGGGCTAAATTGCTGGGCCTGTGGATTAGCACGCTACTGGCAAGTTTTCTTAAGACGTTAGTATTTTGTTGATTAGAACCCTTTATTATCAGTCCATCATAGTCTTGCAAACTGAGATTGTGACTTTAAAATACATCTTAACGGAACAGAGATAGAGCCACACTGCTTATCTCAGATGAACGGGAAGTCATTTCTAGTCGCCAGGCAAAACGACTGTACACATAAAATTGTACATTTTGAGTTTCTTTGGCATTGCACCTTTTAAGACTTAGCTGTAGGACTTTGGATTATTACTGATCTTAGGTTCTGAAAGTTTGCTGTATATTTCAATATTTGGTCAAAGATCGTTTTAAAAATATCCGTGTTGCATTTTGGTTGGTAGGTGAATTTGAAACAGAAACTTGTATACATCATTTTATTGATCACTGTCAACTCTTGTGTATACACATTTAAAAAAATATGTAAAATTGATTAATGTGGCTTGTGATATGCTTCCATTCATCTCTTTGTGAGCAGTAGACATTGAAGAGGTTATTCTGAGTCATTGGTCTTTGTTAAATTGTAGAATTGTTTCTTTTATTTTTTCCAGCTGTATTGAGATAAAATTGATATATAACATTGTGCAAGTTTAAGGTGTGCCTTGTGGTGATTTGATAGACATTATTTTTTGCAAAATGATAACTACAATAAAGTTAGTTAATACAGCCCTAGTCTCACAAAATTACCTCTCTCTCTCTCTCTCTTTCTCTCTCTCTCTCTCTCTCTCTCTGTGTGTGTGTGTGCGTGCGTGTGTGTGTTTGTGTTTGGTAAAGACATTTAAGGTCTGTTCTCATCGATTTGCAAATATACAATACAATATTGTTAACCCTAGTTACCATGCTTTATCCCTGAAACTTACTCATCTTATAACAAGAAGTTTAAAAAAAAAAAAAAAAAAAGTTTGTACCATTTGATCAACTTCTCTCCAGAATTCTTTCTTTAAAATTGTTTGTGCTTTATTATGTCAGCACATATTTTGGCATTTTAAAAATAGCTTGTGGGACATTTTGAAAATTGAGAATTGGAACTAAGTGTTGGACATTTTTCTTCCCTTACCAAATATTGCTTGAGATGATGTAATTTTTTAAATTTTTTTCAGGCACATTTATGAAGTGCACTAACTGTGTCAAGTTCCTTACCTTGTTGAATTAGTTTAATCTGCATTTATTAAACATCTGTTCTGGGCCAGAGGTGATATTATATTTATATTTTATTCTATTTACATATCACTTTAACTTGACAAAGGAAACATTATCCAGTTCCATAGGTAAGGAAACTGTGCTTCTGAGATATTAAGTAACTTGCCGGTGGTTACTAAGCTGTTAAGTAACTCAGCTGGGATTCAAGGCCAGACCTCCCTGTCTCTGAAATCCATGTTCTTTTCTCTGTGCCACATTGACTTAGGGCCAAAGCATGAGGAATGACCCTCAACTACTCATTGGCATATTAATAAAATTTCGAAGACTTGCCAAAGACGTGGGAGTGTTTTTCCAGCATCATCATTACTATCCATCCACGTTATTATACAGATGCTCACATCAGTTATTCTTTCACCTCATTCCAGGCTACATGTCTCTCCCAAAGTTTAGAATTTCCTCTTCTCTTTAGCAGAATTTTCCCTGTTGACCTTAATAGGTAGTGATAACTTAATTATTCTTCCAAAATAATAACCCCATTTTAATGTAGGTTGCCTAGACCCATAAATATAACTGATTTGAAAGGTTAAAAACAGAATTGCACCCTGTTTTACAATATGGGAACCTTTTGATGTTCCTTAAATTAAAACAAACTGTTTTGATAGCTATTTACCCCCTGCAATTATCCCTGCCCTGCTGCCTCTTCAGTTGTGCATTTCTGTGGAATCATTTATGTTCTTATACAAATATTGTTATTATACAAACATATGAAGGGACTGCCCTATGACCCTGCTCCGCCTTGAGAAAGCATAATTTGATAGAACAAAAATAAATACCAGAGAGGTAAGAAGAAACTAGTCACCTCTAGTGGTTGGGTAGAAACTGAATAAAATGTATGGTAGAGGTGGTGGCACCTCTCTAGTTATACCTGTTTGTACACAGACAGCCCCTAACTTTTGATGGTTTGACTTAACAATTTTTCAACTTCACCCTGGTGCAAAAACCATATGTATTCTGTAGAAACTGTACTTTGAATTCTGATCTTTTCCCAGGCTTGTGACAGGTGACCATATTCTCTGATGATGCTGGGCAGCAGCAGAGGTCTACAGCTCCCAGTCAGCCATGCAAGCAGGAAGATAAACAAACAATACAGACTGTTTTTCCCTTTCAGTATGGATTCAGTAAATTATGTGAACTATTCAACACTGTTATAAATAGAGCTTGCGTTACATGATTTTGCCCAACTGTAGGCAAATGTAAGTGATTCAAACACATTGAAGGTAGGCTAGGATGTTTGGTTGACTCAATGTATTAGATCCATTTTCTACTCACAATGGGCTTATCAGTATATAACCCCACTAAGGAAGATCTGTAGTTTTGAGTTTTGGAAATTTGTTAATGCTTTATCTGCTAAAAATAAAATCAACAGGATTGGGTAGCTGGAATTCCAAAATTGAGTAAAGTAGCAGCAGCAGAACCAACTGCATTTCAATGAATTATAGAAACTTTAAGAAGAGAAAAAATAAATGAATCCAAGTAAGTTTTTAACACAGGACATTGACTAGCATGCCCTTATTCTAAAGATAAAAAACCTACTTCTAGTTGCCCACCACCACCCACAATCTTGAACTTTGTGTAGTAAACTCTCAATTGTGTTGGTAGAGAGCAATTCTTAAAGTTATTCTGTGTGTATTTTACAGGACTGAGCAAATGAATAAACTCATTGATATTTTGGGAGCTAGGGTTTTCCCTGTGAAAGAAGGGAAATAAAAATATGAAATGAGAGAAGGTAGCAAAGAGCTTTGTGTTAGACTGGAATTAGAGTTATCCATATGATGTGATTATACATTTATTTCCTTGCTGACTGATGAAAGGGCTTTGAAGCTGGTAACATCCCAGTAGCAGTGAGCACAACTAGTATCCATATCTAACTGTATCCATATCTAACTAGTATCCATATCTAACTCTGTTCCAGAGTTAAGACAAGAAAAATAGGAGGTGAGTCTGGAATATCTTGTATCACAAAGTAAAGAAGTTCCCCCAAAATGATGTGGCATGTCAAAAGAACAAAGGAATGAACTCAAACAGCCAAATCTGGGGAAATAATCAAAATGAATAATGGTAGTAATGGATTACAACTCATGGAATACCATAAAACCCACAAATCCATAATAAAAACTAAAGAAAGGGGAAAGCTCTTCTGAGTAGACTTCTGATAAACAATACAGAAGGGGCCTCCCTGGTGGTGCAGGGGATTAAGCACAGCACTATGAAGCTATTGGCAGCCACTGCAGCATGAGTTGGATCCCCGGCCAGGGAGGTGACCCATATGGCGCAGCAAACCTCTCCTGTCTTGCCCGCTGCTTCCCTCAGCAGTGTATTTCAGCCAGTCTGCCTGTTCTGCTCCCCACTCTGTCTCTGGTGAATCCTCTCACCCCCCCACCCGCCACACCTCTGGCCTATACCCTAGTTCTTGTATGCATAAATAAATAAGCCTTTTAAAAAATCTATTTAAAAAATATAGAAGTAATAATAGAGTCAAAAGAGTCATCACTTTGCAGTCATCATGGTAATTTGATTCAGGCAAGTGTTACTAATGGAGAAAGTATGATGGGAAAGGATATTAATACAGTTTCCAGGAATCTCTCTGGAGAGTAATGATCAAGGGGAAGTCAGTCATTTTCACAGTAGAGGAATCTGGCAGACACCACGTCAAGCCAGTGATCAAAGTTAACATCACCAATAGTGGGTGTTCCTTTGATGCGCTTGAACTAGAGCCTCATGACTTCTCTGTGGTATTTACAAAAAGCATCACCAAAATACAATCATGAAGACACTTGGGAGGGAACCTTCACTGAGGAATATTCCACAGAGTAACTGGCTTATACTTATGTTAATGTCATGAAAGACAAAGGCCAAGGAATTGGTCCAGATTAAACAACATTCAAGAGATCTGACAGTTAAATGCAGCGCACAGTGCATTGGACCTTGGATGGGGGAAAAAAAATCATTGCTCTCTGAACATTATTGGCACATGGGCAAAATTTGAACGTGTACTG